TGAGTGTTTCTCTGTGTTCTTTCTCTGATTCTTGTTATTGGTATATTGAAAGACTACAGACTTTTGTAGGTTAATTTTGTAACCTGCCACTTTACTGAACTTGTTAATAATTACTAGGAGTTTTCTGGTGGAATATTTGGCATCTCAGATATAATATTATATCATCTGCAAAAATAGATAATTTGATCTCTTATTTTCCAACTATTATTCTTTTAATTTCCTTCTCTTGTCTTATTGCTCTTGCAAGAGTTTCAAGCACTATGTTAAAGAGAAGTGCAGATAGTGGACAGCCTTGTCTGGTTCCTGATTTCAGTGGGAATGCTTCCAGTTTTTCTCCATTTAGAATGATGTTGACTGTGGATTTGTTATATATGGCTTTAATTATGTTGAGGTATATTCCCTCCAGTCCAATTCCTTCTAGAACTTTGAACATAAATGCATGTTGGATTTTGTCAGAGGCCTTGTCTGCATCTATTGAGATGACCATGTGGTTCTTATCTTTGAGCCCATTTATATTATTTATGACGATTATTGACTCAACGTTTGTGGAACCATCCCTGCATCTCTGGGATAAAGCCGACTTGATCATGGTGGATGATATTTTTAAACTGTATCTGTATATGGTTTGCAAGTATCTTTGAGAATTTTTGCATCTATGTTCATTAAGGATGTGGGTCTATAGTTTTCTTTTTTGGTTGTATCCTTACCAGGCTTTGGTATGAGAGTGATGCTGGCTTCATAGAAGGAATTTGGAAATTTTCCCTCCATTTCTATTTTTAGAATAAATTAAGTAGTATTGGATGTAGATCGTCTTTAAATGTCTGATAGAATTCTGAGTAAATCCATCTGGTCCTGGGCTTTTTTTAGTTGGAAGGTTTTGTATTACTGTTTCAATTTCTTTTTGTGTTATGGGTCTGTTTAAGCTGTTAATCTCTTCTTGGTTTAGTCCCTTATGATATTCTGGATCTTTTGGTTTCTGTTATCATGTTTTGTCTATCATTTCTGATTTTGTGGTTTGGAGGTGCTTTCTTTCTTACGGTTAACTGGGCTAGTGGTTTGTCAAGTCTTGTTTATCTTTTCAAAGAACCAGCTCTTGGATTCCTTGACTCTTTGAATTGTTTTCTTTGTTTCAATTTCATTAGTTTCTGCCCTGATTTTTGTTATTTCTTCTTGGCTGCTGGGTTTGGGTTTCATTTGTTGTTGCTTTTCAAGTGTCTTGAGTTGTAATGTTAATTAATTTATTTGTATTCTTTCTGATTTTTTGATGTAGGCACTTAGAGCTATGAAATTCCCTCTAAGGATAGCTTTCAGCATGTCCCAGCGGTTTTGTTGTGTTGTATTGTCCTTTTCATTTAGTTACAGGAATACTTTTATTTCTTTCTTAATTTCAGGAGTGTGTTGTTTAATCTCCATGTGTTCATGTGGTGACTAGTATTGATTTTAAGCTTTATTGCATTGTGGTCTGGTAGAGTGCATGGAATTATTTCAGCCTTTTTGTATTTGTTGAGGTTTGTTTCGTGCCCCAGTATATGGTCGATTTTGGTGAAGGTTCCATGGGGTGCTGAGTATTTATGTCCTTTGATGCTTGGGTGGAATATTCGGTAGATATGTTAGGTCCATTTGATATATGGTATTGTTTAATTCAGACATCTCACTGTTAACCCTCTACCCTGTTGACTTATCTAATGGAAACGGTGGTTTATTGAAGTCCCCAACTATCAATGAGTTGGGATTAATCTGGGTCTTAAAGTCCTGTAATACTGTTCTTAGGAAGTTGTGTGCACCAGGGTTTGGTGAATATAGTTCATTATTGTTCCTTTGATCAGAATGAAATTGCCCTCTTTATCTCTTGTGATTAGTTTTAAAGTCTGTTTTGTCAGATATTAGAATTGCAGCGCACACCTGCTTTTTTCTTTGTGCCATTTGCTTGGTATATTTTCTTCCATCCTTTCATCTTAAGATAGTGCCTATCCTTAAAAGTGACATGAGTTTCTTACAGACAACAAAAAGATGGGTTTTATTTCTTAATCCATTCACCTAGTCTGTGTCTTTTGACTGGAGCGTTCAGACCTTTTATTTTTAAAGTTATTAATGAAAAATGTGTATTGAATCCTGTCATTTTTATTTCTGTTCACATTCTTGGTATAGCTGTGCATTTCCACAGTTATACCATCATTGAATTTCTTTCTGTAACCCCTTGGGTATAGTCATTCCTTTCTTC